TGGCATTTTGGCTTGGAGGCCATTATCCACGTTCTTTCATGCATCAAAGAGTCATTGGGTATTTTTTGGCTAGAGCTGGACAAAATCAATTAAGGCTGAGGGCGGGGAGTGGGGGTGGAGAATCCCAATGCTGTGCTTCACATTTTACAGAGCAGTGATATGAATAAGAGGAGTGATGGGGCTTAATGTGTTTCTCTGCTTAGAAGTAGTGCCATACAAGAGGATACTCAGGTGCAAATAAATACTGAGACACAGACTTCAGAGAGTAATTAGGACTGCAGAAAAAACAACTACTACCAACCTGCCTTCAATCGAGGACCTGTATATTGAACAAGTCAAAAAGAGGGATGTGAAAGTATTTACAGACCCCTCACATCCAGGACATAAAGTGTTTTAACTCACACCCTCAAAACGACGCTATAGAGCACTGCACACCAGAACAACTAGACACAAGAACAGTTTTCCCCCGAACGCCATCACTCTGCTAAACAAATAATTCCCTCAACACTGTCCAACTATTTACAAAGTTGGAGCTAATAAAGGGACTCCTACTGATTATCAGACTGTGTGCCATGCCCCGGATCATTACAACTACCGGTAAATACTTACCAACTATAAGTATTAGGCTATCTGCAATTATTCTAAATTTCAGATGAAGAATATTTATACAAGAATGAGATTCTGTATATATAATTAAACTAACTATAACTAAACTATCAGGCACAAGAAACCAGGAGACATGATGGAGTTCAAAAGCACTGCAGATTTATTCCATACAAGCTATACCCAAGAATCTGATCAAGGGAGGCTAGACTAAGATCTCTTTCTGGAGCGTATGGACTCCAGACTGATGATGCATTTGACCCCGCCTTCAGATTCAGCCTGGTCATTTGCTGCATCAACTAAAGTCAGTGGTTTGCTACATTTGCTACATCAACTGGTTTGGTGGTTAAGGCACCAAGCTAGAAACCAGGAGGCTGTGAGTTCTAGTTCCTGTGCAGGTGCCACCTGGGTGACATTGGGCCAGTTCCTCCCTCTCACCCCCACAGGGTGGTTGTTGTGGGGGAAATAAGAGGAAGAAGTACAGTTGGGTATATTTGCCACCTTATTTATAAAAAAACAATAAAGGCGGGATAAAAATAATAAATAAATATATGGTCAAAGAGTTCAGTCTTTCTTGCTCACTTGTCTTTCTATTTTGGGAAAAGTAGTGCACAAACCCCTCTACATTAAAAGTTTAGCTGACAAAATCCACTTTTTCGTTATCGTTTATTTGATTTTTGCCTATACATAAAGGGATATAGGAACAACAGTCTGACAATTATACTAGGGAGCCATATTAGAGTCCCTTTAGAATTTTTGGGGGTTGTTGGAAATTCCAGCAACATGTTAGAGTCAAATTCTCTGTGTTTCTTGCACTGGAATATCATATGCAACATACAGTTGAGTCAAAACTTGACTTTTAAAAGTCTACTAACATAAGATAAACCAAGGGGCAATTTTATACTGACCTTCAAAATTGTTCGGCCATCAAATGATTCCCTTTCCTTGAACTGTTTGCCTGTGGCTCGGTTATTCGGTTCTTCAGCTGCAAAATAAATGAGATTTCAACTCAAACCAAGTCAATTCCCATCCCCAAATCTATATATTTAAATGCGAAATACCCCTCACACATTATCACAAAAATCTCCAGAACCGTAAAGCCTATAAAATAGAAATTTGGCACGTATGTTCCTCTTGGCTTCTAGGTGCTCACTAAGAAATTTTTTTTGAAATGACCATCAGAGCATTAGTATTTCATATATTATTATTAATAGGCTCTGATGCTAAGGAGTTCTACTTCCCCTCCCCACCTAAAAAGAAATTTATTTTAATTTATTTTATTTATTTATTTTGATTTGTCAATAGCTTACAAGATAATAGGTATAAGTATATACATAGTTATGAATACATGAAATGGGTACATATAAGAAAAATAAAAGAAACAATAGGACAGGGATGGTAGGCACGTTGGTGCGCTTGTACATGCCCCCTACAGACCTCTTAGGAAAGGGGTGAGGTCAATAGTAGAGAGTCTAAGGTTAAAGTTTTTAGGGATTGGGGAAGAAACCACAGAGTCAGGTAGAGTATTCCAGACATTGACCACTCTGTTGCTGAAGTCGTATTTCCTGCAATCAAGTTTGGTGCGGTTAACCTTGAGTTTGTATCTATTGTGTGCTCTTGTGTTGTTATGGTTGAAGCTGAAGTATTCATTGACAGGTAAGTCATTGCAATGTATGATTTTATATACCATACTTAGATCAGACCGAAGACGGCATAATCCAAGGTTTTCTAGGTCTAGAATTTCAAGTCTGGTGGCATAAGGTATTCTACAACCAGTAGAGGAGTGGAGAACTCTTCTTGTGAAATGTTTCTGGACTTTCTCAACTGTGCTAATATCAGATACGTAATGTGAGTTCCAGACTGATGAGATGTATTCGAGTATTGGTCTAGCAAATGTTTTGAATGCTCTAGTTAGTAGTATGATATTACCAGAGAAAAAGCTACGTAGGATTAGGTTAACAACTCTTAATGCCTTTTTGGCTATGTAGTTACAGTGGGCTCTAGCACTTAGATCATTAGAGATGAGTATTCCAAGGTCCTTTACAGAGCTTGGATCATCAACAAGGTCTTGACTATTCAGCTTGTATTTTATTTTCTGATATTTTTTTTGCCAATATGTAAGACAGAGCATTTATTTGTTGAGATTTGAAGTTGCCATTTGTTTGACCATTTTGTAGTTTGTGGTGTACCACTGAATCAAAGGCTTTACAGAAGTCTATGTAGATTATGTCTATTGTTTTGCCCTGATCGAGTTGTGTAGTCCATATGTTTTTGCAGTTGCAGATTACAGGATAGTTTTTTTCTGAAACCAAATTGTTTATTGGAGAGTAGGTTGTTTGTTTGTTTCTAAGTGGAGGATGATGGATTGGTTAATAATTGATTCCATAACTTTACAGGTGACGCAGCATAAGGAGATTGGTCTGTAATTTTTAACTAGGCTGGGGTCTCCCTTTTTGAAGAGGGGGATGATCGTGGCTTGTGACCATAAGTTAGGCAAGGAGCTGGTCCTGAAATTTTTTTCAAAGATTATGCTTAGAGGTTCCGCTATGGCAGTGGATAGCTTTTTTAAGAAGTAGGCACATATTCCGTCCGGTCCAATAGATAGAGATGGTTTTAGATTGCGTAGTGCTTTTTCAACATTGTCTTCTGTAAAATCGATATGTAGTAGATCATTGTAGTTTTCTGTGGTTCGGCTAGGAAATACTGGGCATGATCCATTGCTGTTTACAAATACTGAGCCAAAGAATGTGTTAAAGATGTTGGCTTTAATGGTGTCGTCGTTGCAGTCTTTACCATTAGGTCCTATCAGGGGTGGGATGGACTTTGAGTCTTTTAATTTGTTGTTTACAAAATTGTAAAAAGCGCAGGTGGAATTGGTGCGTAGAAGGTTTTCCTCTTGTTTAATGTGATAATTGATGCATTCAGTCTTTATCTGGTGGCATAAATTTTTGTATCGGCTTTTGAAGTTGGCAACGTGACCAGATTTGTTTTTCCGCCAGAGTGATCTCTTTTTGGATTGAAGTTTCCTTATTGTTATGGGTAATCTGTTTTTGTTTTTTTTTGGTTTTGGGAGTTTTTAATGGTACATATAGTTTGATGACTCTTTTGACTTCAAGTAAAAATATGTTGTAATGGTCTTCTACAGTATTGCATCCAGTGAATAGAGATTGCCAGTCAAGGATTGAAGATCATTGTCTATAAGATCATAGTTACCTTTTTTGAAGTTATAATTGGGGATTACATCATTGTGATGATTTTTGTGTGAGTGTATGTTGAGACAAAAGTCAATCATATTGTGGTCACTGTTGGAAAAGGGTTCTTTAGTTTGTATTCCGTAAATTACATTCAAACTATTGCATAAGATCGAGGCAGTTGTTAAGTCTAGTATTGTTGGTTACTAATTAGATTTGTAACAGCATTGTAGAAGGTTGCATGTATGGGTTCAGTTGTACATTCATTTAGGGTCCAGTTAATATGAGGTAGATTGAAGTCACCAAGAAAGATAAAAGCGTGTGAGCAGGATGTTGCCCATGTTAGTAGTGAATTTAGCTTGTTTACATGTTCGATGTCATAATCAGGTGCTCTGTAACATAGTAAGAATTGAAATGTGATATTTAAGGATAGTTCACAGATGATAGTCTCAGGAAGAGCAAGCTCCTGGGTAACTTGGATGTTTTTTAGATGTAAGGACTTTTTATAATCTGTTCCAAATGCAAAACTCAAGCAGGGGAGAGGAGTTTCGGTTTCAGTTTCATAGCGGCAACCAGCTTTACTACAGAACAGTTGAGCTAAGCCATGCCCAGGCTCCTTGCTGTCTCCTTGCTCACACAGCAAATACTGTTTCAGTTTCCAAATAGCCCTCAATTCTCTCACACACTGACAGGACTCTAGGCAGGTGAATACTGATGGATGCTGGTAGGCAGAGACAGAATCCCCCCCTTATTTTCCTCCCCAAAAAGTAAGCCTAATCACATAGTTTTGTAGTGAAGCACAGGTATCAAGCTAGTATAAATATAAATACACACATACACACACAATTATTCTGAATTGTTTTTATCCATTTATCATAACAGCATTTTAAACAAGACAGAAATTATTTCCAAAAGTACATTGTCAGAATGTTTAGAGCCATCAATATTGTCTTGAGGATTATTTAAGGCTGACAGCTTAGTGTAATAGAATCATCCAGGGGAATCCAGAGCTTAAGATTCAGTGCTCTGTCAAAGCAAGCTTTGATAGTAAAGCATTCTCTCACCTTACTTTCCTGTCCAGCCTTCGAGAGCTGATCATTCTGCAGGCTACAAATTTAAAACCAGTGAGAAAAAATTGGGTACTTGGGCAATGCATCCTTGTTCTCAAGGTGCCTCTAATTCCTCAAAGCTGGGAACAAACAAAAGATCAATGGCTCCTTAAACCAAGAGTTATTTTTACTTGGCCCGACTGTGGATACTCCTTGCAAGTGTACCATTACAAATTCGATCTTTACAATCACAGCTTTTGTGAAAAATACGGAGAACTTCATACTTCCTTTTTTCGAAAAGCATGTTTCTGGTTGTCTTGATAGAAGGAGTCGTTCCACTGTGCAGCAAATGTTAATAAACGGGAACATTAGACACAGTTTACTAGTCAGGGATTTAGTCCTCCCACTCACATTTTTGCTTCTTCAGCAAGTCTACTTTATTTACAACTAGTAGTCCTTGACTTGCCACCACTAATTTAGTGACCGTTCCAAGTTACAATGGCACTGAAAAAGAATTACAAACGACTGGTCCTCACACTTATGCAATTGTTGTTGCATCCCCAAGGTCATGTGATAAAAATTAAGGCCCTTGGCAACCATGAAGTAGCTACAATGGTTGCACTGGTCATGTGATCACCCGTTGTGATCTTCCCAACTGGGTCCCGACAAGTCAAGTCAAGCGCAAAGCTGGATTTGCTCAACGACTGCATGAATCACTTAACCACATTGATTCGCTTAACAACAAATAGCACAAAGGTCATAATATCCAGCGTGGTTCATCTGACAACCATCTTGCTTAGCAAAACAGGAAGTCTGATCCCGACTGTGGTAGTCATAAGTCAAGGGTTACCTGACTTGGCCCAGAATTCCTGATCTCCAAAAGATTTAACTCTACATGGAGGACATTCTTTCTTTCACGGCTCCTGCCTGTTGCTATAAGCATGTTCTGGGTCCATCTATCAAAGTGCCTCCTTAGAGCACCCAGAAGGTGTGCCTTCTCTGCTGTGGTGCCTTATCCCAGCACTGTCCCTGCTGGACCCACCCTGCTTTCCTTCAAATGGGAAACCTGGCTTTTTTCCCAGGCCTTGAGCTGGGCCAGGGCATGCATCCACTATGGGATACATCTGTCAACTCATAAAATATTTCTATGGTTGTTTTTTTAGAGTTGCCAACAGAAAGGGAGGGGGGAGCAGTGCAGCCACTTGCAAACCGAAACTGCATTCCATAAATGTTTTCAAAGATAGTTTCTAGGTGACTGAAGTATCTGCCGCGCAAAATTCTAACTGGAGAGCATGATTGATGACTCTTGGCTATGGATGTGTCCCATTGGAGAATATGAATTATGATACACCCAAAGGGTGGGGGGAAACCAGGGTCAAGAGTGACAATGAATTATGTGTCTCAGAGTTGGCTACACCCAGGCAATGCCGTACAGTTTAATTCCCAATAAATCCTTTTTAAGTTTTGGAAGTTTGGCTCCAAAACTGAAAATGATTTAAATAGGGGTAACTGCCGGAATCCTGACATCTAGTGCAGGGGTGTCAAACTCAAGACCCATGGGGTACTTAGGTCTGGCCCATGGGGCCTCCCTGGAGACAGCAAAGGACAGGTCCACAGTGCCTCTGCCAGCGAAAATAGAACTCGGGACCCCCGAGCTCCGTTTTGGCTGGCAGAGGGTTGAGGAGGTTGTTGCTGCTAAAAACAGACCTCATGGGGGCCACAAGCAGCACTCCCAAGCTCCGTTTTTGTTGGCAGAGGGTTGCAGGAGGCCGTTGCAGCCAAAAACGTTTTCACTGGCAGAGTGCTTAGGCCACCACAGGCACCCCCAACACAAGTGACATTGAGTTGGCCATGCCCACCCTTGCCACACCCACCCTGTCCTCCCAAGCTCAAACACAACGGCCCTCAATGAAATCGAGTTTGACATCTCTGATCTAGTGTATTTATACAATGTATTTGTTCTCTCTGTTACGGTCATCTTTTACCCTCGGTTTCTTAACATATTGTACAGTGCTGTTGCTAACTTGCTACATTACCCAAAGCCAGTGATGAGTTGGGAAGGGCATAGAAATTGTGTCAACTAAAAAAAAAAATACTTCTTTGATCTTTTTAGTTGCCAGCAGAAAGGGGTGGGGGAAAGCAGTGCATTCCTTAAATGCCTCAGATAATCGCTTTGGCTACTGAAGATTCTGGCGCGCAAAATTATTACTGGAGAGCATGATTGATGACTCTTGGCTATGGATGTGTCTCATTGGAGAATATACATCCAGGGGGTAGGGGGAAGACCAGGGTCAAGGGTGAAATGAATGATGTGTCAGAGTCAGCTGCAACTGAGAAACGCCGATATGTCAACTCCTAATAAATCAAATCTTTTTTACTCTGAGAGATTGGCTAGAGATTTATGATTTGAATGGGGGTGCATGTCGGAGTCCTGACAAATCGAACGTACACATATAAAATAAATGCATCCAGTTTTAAAATTTTAATACACACACAAACACAAACACAGTGTATGTAAAGGCTAAAAAGGAACATTGTAAATAGATCAACAAACCTGCAAACCAGTCTACTTTTGTCACTCTTTGAAAATCTGAACACGAATGTGAATAATAAAATGTGACCAACAATCCTTAAGATATTTGCATGAAAGCCAATCGTATGCAAATTGTCTAGGCAAGATAGGAAAAAGTGTGATGACATAAGAACTTTTTCCGTTTTATTTGCAAGGCCCATTTCAACAGACAGCTCCTATTATCTGTTTGTGTACTCCACATTATCCACAGGCACATATATATAT